ACTGTTTTTGATGATCTCTGGGGTATTAGTCCAGATCTTAATTGGCGAAATGGCTGGAGAATTTCTAAATTAGGTTGAAGCTCTTGCAGGGATATGATAAGTTCTGAATGACCTAAGTCCTGGTCTGTGTCTTTGGTTAAGAAAGGGAGTATAGATATCTAATACATAGGATGGGACAAGCTCCTTTGAGACTTTAAACATATGAGTAGCCTTTCTTTCATCTCTTCTCTGACTCAAAGCTTTCCAGCCTAACGAAAATAATAATTTCTCAGTACTCGTTCCTTGGATAGCTCCAGATACTATCAAGGCTGCACGGTAATGAATTTTATTTAATTTTTCAAGTTGAAGTTTTGATGCAGAGTCAAAAAATAGCGCTCCTTGTTCCAGGTGAGGCAGAATATAAGAAATATACATTCGTTCTAAATGATTAGATGTTAATTAAACTTTTAGAAAACTTAATGGATTGAGCATTTTACTTGCCTTAATTGCAATGTAATTGATGTGCTCTTCAAAGTTCAAATGTGCATCTAGGATTACTCCCAGATGCTTCTGACTATGGACACGTTCAATTTGATCATTGCTGAGGAAGAGTGATGGGTAATCTATGGTTTGTGATCTTGACTTACAGAAAATTACTTCTTTAGATTTACTAGCCTTAAATTTCTTTTCCATACTTGTGACCAGTCAAAAATGTTATTTAAGTCTTTTTGTATTTTATCATGAGACGTTATTACGCCTGTATTAGGTGTTACTCGAACATATAAAGATGTATCATCGGCATAAATGAATGATGTAGATTCTATTATATCAGGAAGGTCATTAATGTAAAGCAAAAAGAAAATTGGTCCTAAAATTGATCCTTGAGGCACCCCACTATTTACGAAGCCTGATTGTGACCAAGTGGAAAGTTCTGAGTTGACTTTTGCCCTAACTCTTCTACCATGGAGATATGAAGTAAAAAGTTTAAGCAGGTTATCCCCAATTCCGTATGCTTTGATTTTATGTAGAAGCAGTGAGTGAGGAACTTTATCAAAAGCAGATTCTACGTCTAGAAAGGTTGCACGAACTTGCTGATTGTTTTCAAAAGCAGAAAAGATATAATTAGTGATACTCATTAGTTGGAGGTCAGTACTATGGCCTGGTAAAAAGCCTGACTGATTTTTATATAGTAGCTTGTTTTCAATGAGATGGGCAAGAAGTTGCTTATGAATGATTCTTTCACATAGTTTAGATATTGTGTTTAAAAGGGTGACAGGACGATAGTTAATAGGATCAGTTTTGTTGCCTTTGTTTTTGAATATTGGGATAATATGACCTTCCTTCCAAGTTTTTGGGAAAATACCGTCCTTAAATATAAGGTTAAATAAATTAGTCAGTGGTAAATCAACTGAATCGGCGGCTAAGTTGAGCATCCTGTTAATAATGCCATCAGGTCCGGCAGCCTTCGAAATATCAAGATTGCGTAAAAGTTTATGAACTTCCACCCTGTTTGTAGATACATGGTTGAAGAGTATTGTTGATCTGGACGGGAAATTAGGCAGGTCATTCCCAAGATTAAGGTCATGATGAAATTTAGAAACAAACTGATTTAGAAATAGGGTAGCTTTGCTCATGTCAGAATCTGCAACATCATTAAGTCGATCAGAGTAAAGTGATGGAATATCAGCTGAAAATCTTTTGCCAAGTAAATTTTTAATTGTATTCCAATAGAACTTATCATTAGAAGACTGATTTTGAAGATTATCACAGATCTCATTTTCATAGTTAGATTTACTTGTATTGATAAGGTTACGAACATTGACTACTTGTTGAGTATAATCATTGAACAATTTTACTTCATTGGTCACCTTGAATTTTCGATATAATTTATCTCTTTTGTTTATTGCTTTTTTAATGTCCGTGTTAAACCATGGCATATCATTCGCCTTGCTAACCTTTAATTTACAGTGAATGTGACTTTTGAAGATATCAAAGTCATATCAGTCATAGTGTCATAAAGTGCAAGCCCTACTGGTGTATCTGGATCTTGGTCAAAAAATAATTTTGATTTGGCATTGAAATCACCATTCATAAATACCATATCGTATCTATCTTCATCTCTAATTTTGATTAAAGTTGTCCTCAGACGGTTATTGAATAACTGAATTTGTTGCTTTGAGACTAGAGATGGGCTACGGTAGCAAGTACTCATTAAAACTTTTGAATTATTTATCAACATTTCAACCCAAACAATTTCATTTTCATTTGACAGATCAGATCTCAGCTTGAAAGGAATGCTATTATTTATATAGACAGCAATACCCCTTCCATATTCCGGGATCGGTGGATAAATTGGCTTATGGAACCCATTCAATACATGGTTATCTAAATTGACTCTTTTACCCACTTCACAAAGAGAGATCACATCACAGTTCAGATCAAAAATGGTTTGTCGTAATTCATTAAACCTAGCCCCTTCATGTGCAGTAATGCTGTTGATATTGAACGAGAAAACATTTAAAGTATGTTCAGGGATGGGGCCTGGATTTGTTTCAATGTCATTTGCCTGCATCATAATCAGGTGCATTATCTCAAATAAAAACTGATTATAAAACCCTAATCCAGGTATAATCAATGAAGCTCCAATGTAGTTCATAATGCTTGGTAATGTAACCTTGTTATGTGTAACATTAGAATTTTGAATTGCAAGACGTACTGTACAGTACAAAAGTAATAGTATTACTATCATATTAATTGACATCATAATAATACTAGCCCCTGATACAGCTATCAGATAAATACAGTTGAGCACCGCTGCATAAGGCAAAATATGACAAGTTCCATCCAACAAACACAACACAGTGATCAGAAGAGGTATGAATTGCAATACTGTGCACATTAATTTTGAAATTAGGTCATGAAAAAGGTATCTTGATGTATAAGAAGCTTTGCAAGATTTGTATTTGACTTGAATAAAGGAACCAATCCTAGCCCTCCAAGTCGCAATGTCTAGGTTACACATGATTTAGTGTTTTTGTACATCTCATGGTGGCTAACCGACATAATAACTCCATGAACAGGTGACGAATGAATGACAGGTGAATGAAAAATCTTCCATGATGTAGGTTTTACCATAAGGAGTATGAAGTGACTGCAGCATAAGGCAGCCATTGCTTTAAACAAAGTGAACATGAGTTGAATTTAGCAGTTACACAAATTCACCACTAGATGTCATTTGAATGCAGAAATGCAAAACAATAATAATCATGAGTAAGAAAAAATAATGTTATTTCAAGTATAAGTCAATTCAAATTAAAATTTGTCTTGCTAATATAAAGGTGACATAGCTAGACATAGTTAACAGACTGTATAAATGTATTTAAACTCATGTGTATATCTATAGATGTCACTCCCATAGAATGTCAGTTTACCTCCCATTGGTTAATACAGGTAAGTATTGGAGAGGACTCTAAAGGGGACTTTTAGAAGGAACAATCACTTCTGACTTTTGAGCGTGCTACATCATCATCAGATACTCAATTCTGTCAGATTTGACAATTTTATTGAGGGTGGCAAGATTTGTGTATGTACAATTTAAAAGCAGGTTAAAAACAGTTTAAAAACAGAGTGGGATCTTAGTTGGTCCTCTTCCTCAGGGCATCAAGGTAGGCCTCGATGGTGGGTAGGCTTGTGACATCTCTGGGAAGGGCGTTCCAGTCCACAATTGTGCGGGGGAAGAAGGAGTACTTCAGGGAGTCTTTTCTGCAACTGTATAGCTGGTATGAATCTTGGTGGGCAGACCTGGTCAATCTAGTGGGTGGAGTAAGCTAGGTGGTGTGGCGAATGGCTACTAGGGCGTTGATGATCTTGTATAACATCACTAGTCGTTGGTGATGCCTTTGATCCTGGAGTGACTGCCATTGTAGCTGGTGAAGTTTGGCAGTCACAGATCCAGGGTCACGACTGTAGTTGCCAGTGACATATCGAGCAGCACGATGCTGGACCATCTCAAGGGAGTATATCTGTGTCTGTGTGTGAGGGTCCCATACGCAAGCACCATATTCCAATTTAGGCCTGACTATGGTGTAGTATGCCAAGGTCTTGATTCTTGTGGATGCTTTCCAGAGATGACGTTGGAGCATCCCAAGTGATTGGTGTGCCTTCTTCACTGAGCTCTGGACATGGATGTTCCACTTCAGGTCTTCTTGAATGGTAACACCCAGGTACTTGGCAGATGGAACATGCTCAAGTGGGTGATGGTGCATTTGGTAGGGAAATCGTATGGGGTCTCGCCTCTGGGTGACGCTCAGGACATTACACTTGTCTGGATGGAATTTCATGAGCCAATCATCTTCCCACCTCAGAGCAGCATCAAGGTCTTGTTGCAGGAGCTGGCAGTCTTCAGGTTTGCTGATTTCTCTGTAGATGATGGAATCGTCAGCGAAGAGGCGCAACTTGCTGTGCTGTAGGTACTCTGGGAGGTCATTGATGTAGATCAGGAATATGATCGGCCAAAGGACTGTGCCTTGAGGGACTCCGGAGGTAACAGGAGCACTTTCTGAGTGATTACCCTCTAGGACAACCCTCTGAGTCCTGTCCTTTAGAAAGCCTTCTATCCATCTTAGGGTGTTTCCACGTATGCCATACCTGTCCAGTTTGTGGAGAAGATGTCTGTGAGAGACTTTGTCAAAGGCTTTGGCAAAGTCCATAACCACAACGTCTGTCTGGATCCTCTTGTTGTCGTTTGAGGCCAGATCATGGAAGAATTCCACCAGTTGGGTTTCACACGACCTCTTCCCCCGAAATCCGTGTTGTAAGTCATACAGGATGTTGTTGTCTTCCAGGAATTGCATGATGGTACTTGCAATCACATGTTCCATGACTTTACAGCTGATGCAGGTCAAGGAGATGGGGCGATAATTAGATGGTTTATATCGCTCTCCTTTCTTGAACACAGGAGTGATGTTAGCTAGTCTCCAGTCACTGGGGACTACGCCTGTGTCAAGAGATGACTGCATCACACATGTTGTGGAACAATAAATTGCTGAGTAATAATAATGCATTCGCTTGATTTATCTCTCTCAGCCACTACCTGATCAACAAACTGATAAAAACTAAAGGTGAAAAACAATAGTGTTAATGTTACTGTCCACTAATGAACTGAAATGAAATGCCCCTTGGGTAGCCTCAAAACATAAACAAAAAATAAATGAAAACAGACACCTTGGTGTCGATGCAATGCAGTAATCTAACCACGATTACTAAGAATCAACTAGACACATTGGTCTCTCTCTGTCACTACCTGATCAACACCCGTTAACTGAAAAAGCTAGAGGTGGAAAACAATAGTGTAAGTGTTACAGTCCAATAATGAACTGAAATGCCCCTTGGGTAGCCTCAAAACATAAACAAAATAAAATAAAAACAGACACCTTGGTGTCGATGCAATGCAGTAATCTAACCACAATTACTAAGAATCAACTAGGGTGATCATACGTTGATGATGAAATTAAGCTTGTATGAGTCCAGCTTTCCTCAGTGCTTCATTACAGCCCTCCAGGACCAGTTCTTTTAGGACTTTACCATTGAGTTTGCCTTTGTTCACACGTGAAATGCCAACGATGGCATTCAAAATATTAAGTTCTTGCATTCTGTCGAGTATAATCCTACTGGTGCCATAATCTCTGTCATCACTGTTGCCTTCTTGGAGACCCGAGTCAGCAACTATCGGTACGCGTACGAGCGGTGATCTGCATTACTCACATCACAATCACTGATAAGAGTAGCCAGGGCTGCTTTCGCTTGTGACTTGTCAGCAACGTTGCAGCAAAACCCTTGGATGATATTATTATAACGCATGTGTACTTTGGAGGCTGCAATATCGTCCCTGCATATGTCGGGGGATATATCCTTAAGCTGTAGATCGAGGGGATTGTTCACAAACCCTGGATCTTGCTTTACACCATTAACCACAAGTACACCTCTGTTTAGATGAGCCTTAAATCCCTGGACTCCATTGTTTTCTGAGCGTAGCGATTTTAGCTTGGGAAGTTGGGCAACATGTTTTCTGTTCATTGTGTTAGGCAGTTGGTCAGAAATGTTCACAGAACTGTTTCTTAGGTTTTTGGCATGAGACATCACCAACATTTGGCCTGAACGGTCCGAAAAGCGTACAACAATAGGCCTTGTTCTACCTCCTCCAAATCTATGTGCTACGTCAATCATAACTGAACCAGCTAAATTAGAGGATGAGCGAATTGCCTCAATAGGTATACCCATTGCTTTGGTCAGGATTCCGAGAACCACAAGTTTAACATCTTCACCCTTTTGTTCAGGAACATTGTAGAAACACACGTTTAAGCGCATACTGCGGAGTCTTAGATCTTCCAAGTCATCATCATGTTGATCAGACTTAAGTTCGAGCCTGTTAATCCTGCCCTCAAGTATCCCAATATAGCGTGTAAGTTTGCTATTATCAGTCTTAAGGGACTCTATTTCAGAGCTGTGTTCCTCAACCTTTTTGGAAGTTGCATCAAAACTTTGTTTCAAGTCTTGTAGAGATAACGTGTTAGCATCCACAGATTTTACAACATTGTCCATTTTAGAACACAGTTTAGCAATAGACGATGCAAGACCATCCATGGGAGTGATCTCCATTTCAGCCATTGTATTAGTATAGTATATGTAATATTGCTAGGCTGGCTATGTATTGTAAGTATATGTTGATTGTTTATACTGTGTACACTTAAATGTAGAATTAGCTGGTAAGTAATGGCCCTGGCAAATTTTGAGCAATATTACTCCATCAAAAACACAAAACTTCCTCTGTAGATATTAGGCCACATCTGTCAGTGACAAAGCCAAGATTCATTCGCAATAATCTCCAACGACACTAAAATCCATCTGTTAATTCTTTGATAAGTGTCTACTCTATATTACATCCAAAAAAGCAATAAACTGCAGAGCTGCTAAAGTCATGACTTCACATGTTGAGTACTTGATTGAAATTGAAATGTTATTTATTTCATATAAATCACATTTTACAAGTTAAGAAACAGTTTGTACATATAATATTATAATTTAGAGGATTAAGAAGAAAATGCAATTCAATTGTACAGTCTTGGTTCTACTCAGGTCATTGACAAAAGGTTGGCGAGATATAACATCGTGTTACCTTTTCACCTTTTAGCATTACAGACTGCTGATTAATTTAATTCACCTTATAATTCAAATCTGTATGCAATGATTTATAAACTATGAACTTTTTGTATTTGACTACACTAAAATAGTAGACAAATTAAATCTAGCCTAGCCGTAATATCGTTGACGTAATTAGAATATAAATGAAACAGGAACAGTGCATTTCTGCTACATTAATTGTTTGCCCTCGCATATCAATTGGTTCATTATGCAGTCCAAGTAATGAAATGCAATGCAAGGTTTTTTATTCCATAAAATGATTAAATAAATAGTTTTCCGTCCAGTGTTGATATGTTACCAGTTTACAACATATGTGGACAAGTGCTGACCATCTTCGCCGCCGCATATCTCTGCAGCGTTCCCTTTACATGGTATTGTGCAATTACTCGTTGCATAATAGAGTAGATCTCCGCATAGACATCGAAAACCTCCGTAGGCTCCTGCAAACTTCTTTCCTGAAAATGATCAAAATAAATCAGTCTTTAATTTAAGTAAACATTGGGAATAAAATAAATGAAAATAGGTTTCAAAAATGGAAATGATGACTATGGGCATGAATAACATTTAGAAATCACCCGAGAATGATAACTATGCAATAAGGGCATGAATTACATTTAGAAATTACCCGAGAATGATGACTATTGCCATAAGGGCATGAATAACATTTAGGAATCAACTGAGAATGATGACTATTGCAATAAGGGCATGAATAACATTTAGGAATCACCTGAGAATGATGACTATTGCCATAAGGGCATGAATAACATTTAGAAATCAACTGAGAATGATGACTTTTGCAATAAGGGCATGAATAATATTTAGGAATCACCTGAGAATGATGACTATTGCCATAAGGGCATGAATTACATTTAGAAATCACCCGAGAATGATGACTTTTGGGCGTGAATTACATTGAGAAATCACCTGAGAATGATGAATATTGTAAAAATGCATGAATTACAATTTTACTTAACCCATTGATAGGTGTTCTCATCTTTATATCAGTTTTACTTTAAGAAAAAAAACAATGTGTTTAGGAAAAATTAATTAATTTTTTATTTGAATATTTTTGTCTGCAATCATCAACACATCCCTGCATCGTGAGGTTATCATAAGGTGTAATCCGACCCGCATATTATTTAGACACATCAATCAATTGAAAGTAAAATTATGGTATTACTTTTTTTGTCTGCAATCATCAACACATCGCTGCAGTGTTAGGTTGTTATAAGATGCATTCCAACCCGCATATTAATTAGACACATTAATCAATTGCAAGTAGTATTATGGTAGTACCTTTTTGTCTGCAATTATTAACACCTCTGCAGTGTGAAGTTATCATAAGGCATATTTCAAGCCACATATTAATTGAAACAAATGCAAGGTAGGAATAGTAAATTCTGGTATTACCTTTTTGTCTGTAGTAACAAACACATCCCTGCAGAGTGGGGTTATCATAAGATGTAATCAATCAGACCCGCATATTAATAAGACACATGAATCAATTGCAAGTATTATTGCGGTATTACCTCTTTTTCTGCAATCATCAACACATGCAGTGTGAGGTTATCATAAGGTTAATCCGACCCGCATTGTAATTAGACACATTAATCAATTACAAGTAGTATTATGGTATTACCTTTTTGTCTGCAATCATCAACACGTCGCTGCAGTGTTAGGTTATAATAAGGTGCATTCCAACCCGCATATTAATTAGACACATTAAACAATTGAAAGTAGTATTATGGTATTACCTTTTTGTCTGCAATCATCAACACATCCTTTCAGTGTGAGGTCATACGATGTATTCAGACCCGCATATCAATCGGGACATTAATCAATTGCAAGTATTATTGTGGTATTACCTTTTTGTCTGCAATCGTCAACACATCCCTGCAGTGTTAGGTTGTCATAAGGTGTATTATCCCTCAATTTTGAATAGCTGAATTGCCCCCTACATCCCGTATAGATCAATCCAACTATAACAAAAAAATTCCCAAATACAGAGTAGGTAGCTACTTATATGTTATGGGAACTTATTAAAACTACATTAGTTGTAATCCTTGGAAACAATTTTTGAAAAATATTCTCTTTTTTCAAATAAGTGTTACAGCGTTTTGTCAATTGTAATTAATTATAATAAGTGGGTGGAGCTTAATAAGGTAAGACTTCAATGGCAATTGTACTTTTTACTTTCAATTCAGATTTTCTAAAGAAATAACGGGTGAATAATATGCTGATATGTGTAATAAAATATGTTAAAATTAGCGAGATCGATCGTATGTTCATTTCTAGAAAAAATTTAACATTGTTTTCAATTGGAAATTGCATTATTTTTATTGCACAGTTCAGATTCCCTTAAAATTGTGATCATTTAATGGAATAACAAAAGTATTTATGAAAATATCTAAGAAAAATTACGGTCCGGATCTTGAGATTTTTTTTTAAATTAGAATAATAAATTATATTATTAAAACTTAAAATAAAATTTTGGTTGCATGCAATCGAGCGCTTGCTGACCGAGCTCAATGTCACGGAGGTAGAGAGACTTCTTGGACCAGAGTGATACTTTGTGCATATATGAAACATTTCAGAAATAACTCCTACTACTTCGTTAAATGATTTGAAAATGATTAATCAAATTACCGATATTATTAAAATACATTCCCGAATAAAACTTTAATCTAAATCTGGAAATAATATTGTTTCATTAAGTTTTCATTCCGGGGACTGACTTCGTTTTAGATTCCCGTCCCAATCGCTAGAAACTAACTTCGAAATACTATTTTCTACCTTATGAGGTTTATTGATATAAATTCATAGATTCATTCATTCATTTTGACTATAGGGGTATTTGCCAATAAACGCACCTCTTCCTTTATAATGCTGTTTTTAGTGAGTAGGATATATCACACGCTATTCGATTGTCCCGAGTATATTATTATTTAATACGGTATGCTATTCTTTTCATAAAAAATGTTGATTGTCATTAATCATTAAATATAATGTTGGTTTCTGATTCATTTCAAGGCATAAAACTTGTTAATAGACATCTGATAACAATGCGATAATAATGTCTTGGGTGCAATGTTTGGTTTTACTATATTTGCCCCTTACTCATTTGTTCGTGCATATCTAATTTATCGGCTTTTCATAACAATATCAAATATTCATCTGACTTTTACGCATAGGTTATATGATATAATTTAATTATTTGCTACATGTCACATTTTATTTCACGTGATAACATGTTGTTTACCAGAATGCAGAACCATGCAAAGTGATTTAGTTACGGAAATCGATCCGTTTCAGTAACAAAATGAAGTAGCCTTTGAAGAAGTTTTTCGCTTTCCATGATTTTTTGAGTTAAAGGCAGAATCGTCACGACCTTGGGAAAAAACAATTTCGGCATTACATGTCTAAAAAATTAAGCATTTTCGAACACAAACATCATCGAAACAAACATCCACAATTGTTTCATAAACCGAATGGTTTAAAGTGCAGATGATCACTCATTTATAGAGTTCCATTAGGTAACAAAGGGGAGTATATCGATGATTCTGGCGTCTCGTGAATAATCCATTCACAATTACCTAGATTATCTTACATGTTTGTGCCCAAAAATGTCACTTTTGTATTTTTGAAACTGAAATGTAACAAACAGCTTTTTCGAGTTTCGAACACTTTCAGTCGGTCTCTCAGTGAGGGTTAATATTAACATAAAGTTGTTTGAGTCATGTTAGGTTTAATGTCATCCAATTACAGCCAATCGAATCATTTTAGGATCATGAAACATACTTACGTGGTTTCTCGGGTCGCCAAAGGTCATAATCATATTGGTTCTTTATAAGGGTGCCACTTGTTGATAATAATTGACACGTATCGTCGCCATTACTCTTCCGAAAATTGAACTGAACACAGCCACTGGTTGACTCGCAGTAAATGGCGCATTCTTCGATTGACAACTTTGGTATCACGTGCGTGACATTCAGTAACATTCTGTTTTCGGATCTATAAAATGTCCGTCCGAATGAAAAGTCCAAAAAAGCCTGCAAGTACGCCATGACCAGAATGATTAAAGTCGAACAGTTCTTGTTCATCGTTGGAGCAACTTTGTTGTATGTTCGAGGCTACAGTTTTTTTCACGTATCCTTCTTTTACTTCTGTCTTATCCGAACTGTGCTACGTACGTTTTTTAAATGATGGAACTTCCCCGTGTCAAACAAAATTAATATTAATACTTAATGACTTTCTTCACGGGGATTCTATGGTACAATTTTCCAAATCATACATAAATAATGTTTTGTGGTAGCCATGGATACATCCTTCAAACAACTTAGCTTTCAAACAATTCAGACTATTATCTAATTTCTGCATTAACAATAGATTTGCATTATTTATCAAGATTGATGATAATGATAAACGTCTCTCGATCTGTCTACTCATAATTAAATCCATTATCGTATATGACATATCATTTCAACTGCATAAACGGTTATTGACTTCAGTTCGAATTTGTATATATAATTCGCTTAGCACAATGATCATTTTATATATTTCGTGACATTATTGCATAAGGCATCGCACTCTCGAAAATAGACCAGTACATTTTCTCTGATTATGGCAGCCAGAGAGATGAATTGAGAAGAACTGAGTGGCTGCAGAACTGAGGTTGTATTTTTATATTTAACTCCACTGCGGTGCTTAGGATACACTTAGTACTGTTGTGATATTATTTTCTTTGGCTGAGTTTTTCATTGGATCTGATTTTGTTATTTATGGTGTTGATCTATTGTGAATTGTTGTGATTGAATTTCTTTGACAGAATTGTGTAATTGTTGGCTCGAAGATCTGGCTTGATTTTGATACGCTCAGCGCTCAGGGGAGATTGACATTCTTTTGACATTCGCTCAACCTGAAGCTTCAAACTGATGTTGTTTTGATTGTAAGCACTCGTGTAGCTGCCAACTTACGTGAGACCTTTGTAATATTTTCGCTATATAATTCATGTAATTTCCTGTGATTTATATTTGGAAAAACTGATGTAAAACCAATTCTTAATTTATTTATTTACAATTAAACTTAAAAAGCTTTACACGTACAAACAACAACCGGGGAATATCGAACCAGCAAACAAGTGGTAGCGTGGTAAGTTGAACGGTCATGGCAACGTAGTGAATCAATTTGTGCTGAAGGTCAAGGAGGATTGGCTCCCAGAGTGCACCACCGATATTCTGTCCCATATATGGGTATGTCGTAATACAAAATTCGAATTCAAACAGCCGCCATTTTGTTCACTTCAACATTTGAATCGTGAATTTTGGTCTTATTTCCAAACGAATAATTCCAAAACTCACAAGAAATGATCGATATATTGGTTCGAATCTTTTGAACTGTTTATTTTGAATTTATAGTCGGTTTTAATTTCAGAAAATAACGACATTTCGACGTTTTCATTGTTGGAAAATATCGAGTTTCGATCCTGGGAGCCAATCCTCCTTGGCTGAAGGTGATTGATTACGTGACTAACAGACAGACTGACTGTAGGGTGCTTGTATGATGCTGCCCTCTTTAAATACAAATAAAAGTTGAAAACACTAATTGGTCACAACTGATTTTAACAGATTAATGAAATGAAATCCAGTAAGTCAGGAGACATAATAAATGTGATTAAATTATGTTTAACAGTCTGCTGGCAGTGTTTTATGATTTTTGAATCTTACAAGATATAACAATACGCGATTATATCTTATTCTTATGAAGACCTAATCGGTCAATTGATTGAAGATTATATGTATAGTGGATTTAAGATTAGTTGACGTGTTGGCAATCGCTATGTATCACCCTTGGTATACGCAGCTAACGAAAATTGACCGGTACGGGTCAAAAGCTGGACCGGTACGGGTTAACGGTTTTATTTGAATTTAAAACAGCCATAACTTGCTCAATATTGACTTCCTCGTGTCTAATTTGAAATATATGATGCCTCCAGATGCTTTTAAGTACCCCAATTTTTTACAGATTTTTAATCGGACCAAAACTCTCTAAATGCGCATTTATGCTCTTTTCTCTCGAGAGCGACTGTCTCATTTTCACGATAACTTTTATTTAGTACTTCTAACATATAAGATCTATTTTTCCCCATCAAGGTATGATGTAAATGACATGCTATTTACATCTTGTGAGTTTCAATGACGCGCGTTTGATTTTATAAAAAATGCCAAACTTTGTGACAAAGAATTCCCTCCTGCTTGCAGCGAGAAGACGGACCGGTTCGGAGCATGCTATTGCCCCGAACCGGTCCGTCTTCTCGCTGCAAGCAGAATGAAATTCTTTGTCACAAAGTTTTGCTACCCCCCTATCACACCAAACTAGTTCTTGCCCGTTCTTGCCAGTCCTACGAAAACGTCGCAAAACGGGCTCAATCTGGCTGTGGTCGGGAAATATGTCTGAAATAATTAGCTTCTTCGTTCTTAAACAGTCTTCAATACGTCCATCTCGTCCGCAATTCGTTCAGGTCGCACCACGTCGGTGTGCAACGTCGTAGAACGCGTCCCTTAGTCTAGAAGGTCAACATGACCTGATTACAGAACGGTATGGTCGCCATCGAATTTTGAATCGATTCAAAATTCTAAAATCACATTCCCGTCTGAGAACGTTCATAAAGTTCGTAAATAGACCTTAGAAAGTTGCAGCTACGTTCATTCCGTTCGCACACAGTTTTAAACCAGTTTTGAAGAACGCAGTGGCAACCTGTTTGGTGTGATAGCTATATTTTTGCTAACTCGTTCATAAGCAGTGTTAAATACATTCTTAATCAGTTTAAACCCGTTTGCAGTTAGTGTTACCTCGTTCTCAACACGTCCTCAGACAGTTCAACTCGTTGTTAAAACGTCCCTAGTAGGATTGAAGTACGACGGTTCCGTTCGTAGTACGTCCAGCTCGTCGTTAGTACGTTGTCACTCGTTCTAATTGTAGAACGTGACGACCACGAGAACAATTTGAGCATTGTCTAAGTTCTAGAGGACCTACCCGTTCGAGTACGTTCGATGAAGTTTGTAAATAGATCCCAACCGGTTCTTAGTAGGTCCAGTCCGTTCGTACACAGTTGAAGCCCGTTTTCGAGAACGTATTGAGAACTAGTTTGGTGTGATAGTAGGGTTAGCTGCGTATACCAAGGGTGTGTATGTAATCTCATCTTTACATACGAAAGGGGTGCTTCGGTACTCAAGTAATAGCTTATTGACAAACGGAAATCGCTATTGAAATGTATTCTCATACAATGACAATTAGACGTTGCAATACAAATAGGAATAATAAGTCCTTTAGGGAGAATCTTTAAAGATCGATATTGGAAAATTAACTTATTTAAACGGTTGAAGGGGAGGAGGTAAAAGTTAGCAGTCCTACATAGCTCCCAGGACTTTTATTGTTGCATTGTCTTTTCGTCCAACGCACTTTCGGTAAGAAAAATAAAAAAAAACGTGAACACAACCATCGACGATGAAAAAGGTACATGACTTATCGAAGGAAAATTCATGAAGGTAACAAATACGAAAATTCTGGAAAAGCCAATCAAAAGTGGGCAGAAAAATACAAAAATGATCAAACAAAATTAGATTTGTCTCTGAATCAAGAGAGTGTGAGTGTTCGACGAGCTGATGGTCCGATTACTGACTTTGTTTAAGCCAGTTTTCAATTAATTTTCCGATATCAATCTTTTGAAATGCTCCATTAAGTTCTTTAATCGAATGTAGTTTTAATAAAGTTACTCGCTAGATCTTGTTATAAAATAGGCATATTTTATTTTATTAATAAGCGGTGACACTCAGTTAAAACAAAGGCAACGTTTAAGAAAACACACAGGTACATGTTGAATATAGTAGTATAGTTTATGAAACAATAGTTACTAAAATGATGTTCAGTACATTTATTGACTTGTGTCCAAATGAGATACACTCCCCTCCATAAGTTTGGCAACCTTAGCTCCCCCATTGAACTACGTGTTCAAGCCTCTTTACCTTTGAATTTCCATTTACTTAACCGGCGATGAAATAACTTATAAATATTGATGGAAACGTAACTTGACTTTATTTCCAATACCTCCAAATTTTCTCGATTTTTTCCTCAATTACAATAGGTCAAAAATTGATGATTTTGGAGGTATTGGAAATAAAGTCAAATTATGTTTCCATCGATAGTATAATTATTTTCATCGCAGGTTAAGTAAATAAAAATTCAAAGGTAAAGAGGCTTTAATACGTAGTTCAATGGGGGAGCTAAGGTTGCCAAACATATGGAGGGGAGTGTAGCAGCGATGCCTAGTTGTTTCATTACAGTTCATGTCGCAAAGAACATTTCCATCATTTATATCATATTGCTATCATTTGAAACTATAACGTTTCCCTATCAGAAGAAACATTTACAACATGTAACAATGCGGTTTGTTTTGTTGGAACGAGACGAAGTGCTGAATATAGGTCAACAAGATACTAGTGTGCATATAAATGTAATTATTAAAGCAGAATACTCATTTTGAAAAATCAGATGAATTTTTTTTTTCATGGGGAGATGGAGGGTGCATATGGTCCTTTTCACAAAAGGTAAGGATTCCAGATTTAATTGATTCTACTCCTGTTTAAAAAACGTGTGATATAATGGTCACTATATTATATTTGATAATTCGTATTGATGTATTTGATACACGTATCACCATCTAGAGATGCACATTTTTAAATGTTCCTCTCCATCAATTATGGATTCGTCAACATAAAAATGTGTATATAAAATTGTATAATATTTTCACATTAGATACCTTGAGCACTTCAATCTAAAAGTATCTTCTTTACATTTAAAATAATCTATCTGCCTAACACACGACTTATCAATTATCTTACACAAACACGCCGTGTGAAAATTTCAAGTAGAAAATAATAAAAATTAATTAAATAAACGTTTTCTCCGAACTTATTGATCGCTTGTAGAACAGTTTTAAAGAGTGATATCACCATTATCAATAACTTATCAATCCGTCGAATCCATTTTAGAGTCACAGTTTGTGACTTACATGATGCATGGAAATGAGAAGAACTTCCAAATGAACATTTTTTCTGGTTTATTCTTCTATAGCGGTGTTCCGATCAACTGTTTACGACATTATATATGTATTTTCATATATTTATTAAATGGATGTCTCGTAAGTGACTGAACCAGAACGGCTGTCAATGTTCACAATCGAATGATCTTTGGACTCCTTGAAATGTTTCGGACGAGTGGGCTTCGGATCAATGGGGTGAGCCCCTGTAGAATCCTTGAAATGTTTCCCCTGTAGTTGCTTCAACACTTCAAACGGGTCTTCTTGACAACTGTTGTACTCATCGCCGAGTTCGTTTACAAACTCACGTGTTTCTTGTGCACACATGTGTTCAAATGCCTGTCGGTATTCCCCACCAGTGCTATCCTCACTAATTATATCCAGTGATTCGCCAAGCCATTTGAACAGAACTCTTACAAATAGTTGGTCCATCAGCCAAGGGGAATACTCAAGCAAATTTCTATTATTGGAATCGACGTCAGGAAGTTTGCCGATCCACCTTCTTTTCCTGCATACATCGTACGTATTACCATTATCTGTCAGTACTGGTTGGTATTCACTTGTGTGGCGATTGTTTTGCATCAGCCGTACCAGGCAGCAAGATTCAAATCGAAAATGGGTGTTCCATTCTTGCATGCATATTAGGTGAGAAATACGAACAAGTATGTCATGTAAACACCGTCCGAGTGATGTGTCATTTGCATGTCTATCTTGTGATGTGTTAATGCATCTAAGGTGAGATGTACGAACACGTATGTTATAAAAACACCGTCGTAATGCGTTATATGGATATTCACATTCCTTTTGATGAGCATATACATGGCATTTAAACGCATGCGAGCTGAGGTTTGTGAGGCAACTTCCATCCCTGTTACACACAGACATTACGTATTTCAGTAACATCACGAGTTTTCTATGTTGTCCATCGATCCTTGAACGTCTACAATAAGTTGATTGTATCCAAAATTCATCGGAACCTGGCAATAATAATTCAATATTGTTTATGTCTCCACTAATGTGTGGATCTTTTAGCACACAGAATCCGATATCGATATCAGTAGCACATAGTTCAGCCCCAACTCTTAGTCTAATGCATGGGCCATGGAGCTCATCATCCAAAATTATTTCGTTCGTAGCGAGTCCAGAATCTGCTGGCTTCTTGTTGCCAATGAACAAAATGCCTTTATATGTTAATATTTCTTCCTCGTGTAAGCGTTTTAAGGTTGTGTCAATGGCTTTATGTATGTAATACATAATCCAAGATGTCAAGCGCTGTTCTTTGTCTATTACATTCTTTTCTGCTTCTGAGTCAAGGTTATTACATTCTTGCGCGATATCACGACAGAAGTCCTCGTCTTGAAGTTGTATAGTATTGTCCCCTCGTAATCGTTTCTCACACAACTTTAATGGGGCAAGATAATCAAACTCATCTGGTTGAAAAAGTTTCGTTTTGTGATAAAAGCTTCCGTTTCGTAAGATATATTTTTCAAGCTTAAATGTTGGAAACAACACTTCAAATTTATCGCAAACTTCTTTAACGATATTCGACTCAATGTATTTATTATGCTCATATAAACTGGAAGGGTCTCCTTCCAGCTTTATAACCTCGAAAATCTTCGAAGCAAATTGTGTAAATTGACTTTCTGAATGGGATATCGTTGTCGTCTTGGGCGTGAATGATTTCCATTCGAATTCATCGCATTCAGGACAGACATAAACGAATCTAGAAATGCCATTTTCGCCACTATTGTTCAATAATTCTGGATTAATATTGATCCCTTCTAGATCTTGGATTTCGCTCAATTCTTTAAGTGTTTTGTCTTTCCAACACTTTGAACAAGTGAGTACGATAGCCATGTGCTCGCTTATGATGATTCCCCTTTTCAGCTTTATCTTCAGCTGTCTTATCCTCTCTCTCCGCCTTATCCTCTTTGTTAGAAAAGACCATACTGCTCGAACACAATTATACACCACCTCTAATATCCCACGTACACAATTACGCGTCTCTAATGGGATCCCACTTACACAATCATTCAAACCCTCCAATGCCAAACCTTCACAATAACGCTCCCCCATCATTGGAGTACATGTACAATATGCTACCCTGGAATAAAAATGCTTTTTGTACAAATAATACA